GCACGAACGTTTGCATCGAAAGCGTGGATCGAAGATCTGGTGATGCAAGCCAGGAAGATCAAGTACGACGATATCGGTCTGACCGAGACGAGAAGGCATCGCCCCCTGCATGCCGTACTCGAGACAGAAGGCGAATTCTCTCTTGGAACATGCAACAGCAGAGGCGTAGGCGGCGTAGGGGTTCTCGTCAATACACTCATGGCCATGAACATCAATTCGTACGAAAAACTCGACAGCCGGTATCTGACGTTTGCGATTAAAAAGATGCGGCTCGACCCAGGCTCTAAGCCTAAGGTGGAAGCGTTCTATATGAATTTGAAAAGACTCTTGAGAGAGAGGACCCACTTGCTTCAAGGTCATCGTCGGTGAAGCGATGTCAAAACTGGCTCCAGAAGAACGGCTGGAAAGCTCTAAATCGAGGCTAATAGAACAGGTTGGAATGAGCAGGTTGGAAGGTTGTCCGAGTTCATTACGTCGACGATCTACACTATCCCTGGAAACTCGCAGTTCCAGAGGCCCTCTAATATGCGATAGACATGGGAGTCATTTGGAAGACAGTTCCATTAAACAGCACATCATGTTCATCGGAAATTTGGGTGGACTGACGTCGCTGTTGTTCCGAAATTCTACGCGGGATCGGACCATCGTCTCCTACGCGCTCGGTTCTGTTTCTCAGTGTGTGGAGAGAGGGCTGCCAAGTACAGGGAACGAAGCTCCAAGACCTTTATCCACTTCGCTTCCTTTGCGAGTCCTGGGAAGATTTCATTATCAACAACATCGATTAAGAGTACAACCGGCTCGTTGAACATCTTCAGTGCTAGGGAAGCAGACAGTCTACAGTAGCCAGAAATTCTCTATCGAAGATTCTTGAGCTGATATGTCAGCGCGGAAAGCGAATGATGAGGATCTAAAAGAGAGAAGAGCAGCAGTTATGGACCAAGACACCGAGGCCTGAAAGAGCATTTACAGAGCCCGACGGAGCTCGAGACCATCATACCAAGCGAAAATGAGAGGACGCGCGAGAGCAGAGTGAGTTATCTTTTTGCGGAATAGGCCAATGCGCCTTTCTCAAAAAAAGCACTACTCCATTCGAAATTTTGTTGGTGCACAAACTTTTATTAATAATTGTCGCAACTTTAGATGAGACTTTTCAAGACAGAGTATATGGTAGGACACCATTATTCCAATAATGAGTGCTCAACATGCTTGATGTCTGAACCCCTGAATCCTAGCGCTGGAAAGCCGCCATAATGCCCCAGTTGAGGTTCTGTCACTTAAAACTACACACGTTCGACGTGAATGGAACTCACGAAAACAAAAATAGTTAATATTTATTTAATGACTCATGTATCACATAAAATCCAGCTATTAGAACTGATATTTCTGTACTTTCCACAGCAATAAAATTTTGATATAGAAGAGCTTGAGCTTGTACGATTTGAGAATAGCTGTACAAAGCATGGACTGGCCAAAGGAGACTGTGATGCTTGTTGTAATGCATTTACGGTCGAAACAACACCGAAAATCACACCACCACCTAAAACGACAGTAGGGTTACAGATAATTTACAGAAAACAACGATTATTGTCTTTTCGGTGGGAGCATTAAACGTCTAGTATGGGCATGCTAGACTTAATCTTGTAAATAGACGGCCTTGCTCGCCGCACCCTCCATAAAGGACCCAACTCTTATAGCACTAATGCAAAAGCAAGAATACATGGAATAGCAACTCACAAATTATAAAAGCTTCAACCAGTAAACGTATATTGCTTGTCCTTGCGAAGACTCTAAACTCACAAAGAATAAGACAACGCACTTCCATGGATTGGATATCGAAAAGAGAGAAAAATGTGGTACGAACTGCCTTATAGTTGGGATGGGGTTGTTATCCATTTCGAATGAGTTACTTATCCGCGGTGCTTCTTCTCTTAGTTTTTCAGCGGCTTCGAGATAGAGAGAAAATAGTCCAGGAAAAACTAGGGTAAGGGCAGTCATCGATGTGCTTCCCACCTGAAACGATCAATGAACTCTTGTTTACAGAACAGATCAGAATCGTATGCCGCTTTATATGAATTTAACTGATACAGTGAAACCGTAAAGAGATTGAAGGGCAATTCAGTTAGGATGAAGATAAAGTTTTTGGCGTTAATCAATCCCGTTTGAGGGATGCGCCCCGCACTCGACTTCCACTCAGAACCGTACAGCATACCATACTTACAACGACTTGCGTTGGCCAGCCGATGTATAAGTCAGTGCTTTTATCCTCCCAGACGTGTCTGGTACCAATTCACCGACCCCGGAGGGATGGAAGGCTTGGTTGGCCTAGGCGGGCATCAATCCGGGATTCGAACCCGTGACCGATATAGTGCGCCACTTGCCATACACTACATCCGCCCGTCGGGCAAGGGTAGCTGGCCATAACTACACTACTTCTAGAATTTAGTATGTCCTACCGCTGTCGTATGTTGCGCAAAGTCCTTTCAAGCTGTTCATCCTCTAGGAGTATAGGCGTCACGTTAAGAGGACACCTATCTCGGGGTGATCAGAGGTTGCGATCAGATTTGTGTACGAGAGGGGCAACTTCCCCTGATTCATTGCTCATTTATGTGACGTTTACAACAGATGTACCTTCCGCAAACAGATATAACCACTCTCGAGTGCAAATCTGATCCCGTTCTCAACCTTGTGACAGGCAGCTCGAGCCAAGAATTGTGATATGCTCTCTTGCATTAGAGACCATTCTGTCCTTCCACTTCCCGGTCCTCTAAAGGAATGCAGAGAGGTCTACCTGGCATCTCAATAGACTTCTCTTGACACTAGAGAAACCGTATCAAGTGCACAATAACCGTCGCCATGTAGTTTCTTACTTACTTACATACCAAGTGGGAGAGTAAATGGGCACAAGACCCACAAAGGCGTAGTGCAAAGGCTATAGTGAAGCGATTTTGGACTAGCTGTTGATTTGGTGATTTACTAAAAGGCCTTCTCCGCTTATACGTGGAACGTTGGAAGTTTGGAATTGAATACTTCAATATTATTGAAACAAATTCAAATGAATGAACATAAAGAACTTGCCAGATCAAGGAAGACACCAAAATTTGGTAACAGAGAAGCCACAAGTGTAGTGAGAAAGAATACGATCGTGCGAACAATAACTCGCCCAATGCCGAATTCTGGAAGCCTATACTGTATGAAAGGTGGAAGAAATCTTTCCGGTATGAGAAACTGAATATTTTATGAAAAATTTGAGTATGATGGGAGAGCTGGATAGAGGAGAAATCTCATTTTCCCGTGTTTCATTACCCTTGCCTGACTGATTGATTCGATTTGATATATTACACGAATTACCTCGTGTAAAATCAACAAGCACAAAAACTAACCACCGAAGAATTGAAACGCAAATGACATCAAAACACAAGGTACTGTGATAAAATAGTAAGATGTAGGTAACAAAAGATGTAGGTAACAAAAAATATATAAATGCGAAGAGAAGGTAAAAGTAAAAAATCAGAAAGAAATACAAAAAAAACGGATGCTGAACTTCTTCAAAAAATAGATTTTGCACCCCTAGAATGCAATTTATTGCGAACAACGCTAAAAACCCCTTCAAGTGGTGTGTAGTTAGTTTAAAAATAGTTTATCTACAGTTCTATGCTCATGAAAGTCAAAAAACGTCTTTTGAATAAGGAACTGCTCGAAGACTTAGCCAGAAGGAGCTCTCTATGGGGTGAGGATCAGCACTGTGTTGTCAAGAGTATCATTCCATAATTTCATCCAGTTTTAGGACAAAATTGGGAACATTTGTTGTAGAGGAAAGTCCACTGCCCGAAGTAGAGTACAACCCTCTTTTCAATTTGAGGGCATCACATCGCAGAGGATGAGGTTGGATCGTTCAAACAATCTATTTTTTGGAAAATGGTGAAAAGGCGAAGAAAGTGCGTCAATTCGTCGTTTCCAAAGTGATAAAAGGCTCCGAAAATATCCTAAAAAAGAGGGGTTGGACGAGAAGGAAACAAGAAAAATGAAGAAGGGGCGTTTGGACGAGCTATACAGTGGGTATCATTGCGTATGTTGTGGGTCCTGGTGCGAATAACTGACTATAGTAAGCAAAGACGTCCTGTAAAACTTACTCATAAGCGCTAGTTAACAAAAAGGCTAGTGAAACAGCAAAAAAGCCTACGACGCTCGCGTCGACATTGTGAGCCAACGTAGCGTAGACGCGGGTACTATAAATGCAAGCAGACGTGACTCATGGAAACGGGAAGCAGTTCGTGGAAGTAGGAGTACCGTAACCGACTCTTTATGCAAATGCAAGGGCTGAAACCTCGCTCAGGCAACCTTTCGTCTTCATAACATCTTGCAACCTTGTCAATTTACGACTTTCGAAAGGTCTTATATTTCGCAAATTCCCTGGATTTCCTCGCTTTTTTTCGTCACCGATGTACTGTGCCTTTAAGATGAAAGTCTTGTGATAATAAAGTGATGGCTGATGATCAATGACCTTGCCGATTCTGGATAGATGTACGAAATGACATCAACTTCGTTGTGTTAAATGTAAAAGTAAACGTATGAGACAACAATAGATCCTTTCCACAACACTTACCGTGTTTTACGCCAACATGTTCTTCGACACCTTGATGCAAAGGATTGATAATGATCAGAATTGAAAATAGTACATGTAATGTGATTAGAACACTGATCAAAAGCCGCAAAATGGGAGTCTGAAAAGCATGCCTTTGTTTTGAAGAAGAAGCCAGAATAGGGTTTCGGAAGTCAATATAAGCCTTATCTACCCATTGTTTCTGTAGATCCCTCTAGCTCTCATTAACCGTCAGACAATTTTTTTTCCAATTACGTTACCACCCTTTTCCGATGGAGACTACCTATTCGCACTTTCCCAAACAGAATGGGCTTGACCTTTCTTGACAGTTAGGCCGTACTTCAGTACTCCGATAATAATGGCCGATATTCTATCATTCTTTCTATTCCAATATTACCATTCACTTCACCAATCTTGTCGATAACCAATTTCGATTAAGACCTACCTGAATAGAGGATATGACCGAATCAGATATCGATGTACCGTATACGGCATAACCACTCAGTGCAACAGGGCTGTACAAAAGAAATAGTACTGAAATTTGAAAGAAAGTTGTTTGGTGCAGAAATGGCTCAGCATCCACATTTGTACACAGATTAGTTACATGGATTGGTATGGCAGACAGAGTTGAACCAAAACAGCGATGATTAACTCTGTAGTAATGACTCACCGATGTAGCTTAAGATAACGGCTTTGCCGAAATGTCGTGGTTTAGCCATGTCATGTTGAATTGTAGGGAATACAGGATGACCACCGTATGCGAATACGATGGTCCCAAATCCTAATGAAAATTGCCTCGCAGTAACTGTGGTATAGGAGGCGGCCTGAATGAAAGTCAGTTCTTCACTGGTGATATTCATCTGAACTCGATATAATGCTCAATTTCGTTTCAGCTCACATCATTATTTATTTAAGGTTCAAATAATCCACTACCAGAAAAATTTTATCGGACGATGGTCTTAAGAAAATGGTCGCCCATGCTTTCGTGAAACTTTACAGAGTACTCGCTGTCGCGCTGAGTGGTCAAACCCTCCTCCAGATGAAGAAAGGCTAAACAACGTGCTGCTTTTCTCATTTCAATTCATCATTATCCGTCTGTTACGAAGGCCATGCGAACTAAAGCCGGACTGTTTCTGTAAGATCGAAGCAAGTTTCCTTAATTCTGAATCGACTAGCCACTCCTATAGACGTTATCTAGTATAAACATAGATTACGATTCTGATACGATGGTTTAGGGCACTGATTGACTCGCAGAACAGAGGCCAGTAATCAAATGCTGCCCCTATCACCTTAAATCTGTTCTGAAAACCAAACCACAAATCGAAACATAGCCACAATCACAAACCACAATGCCCTCTGTGGTCGACCAAAAGCAACTGAAACAAACTGATGTCGAGGAAACATTTCAAAGCAACAAGTGTAGCAATACGACAAGGATAACTAAGTTGAATTAAAATGGTTCACTCCGCCTCTCCACCAGAAAAACCACCGTCTACACTTCCTCAAGCAGTGGCATGAGGTGAGCGGAAAATATTATTGGCAAGCGAAAGAGACGATCAAATTAGGCTCATAAGAAATTAGGAGGATAAAGCAAACAAGAGGGATCCTCATTACGAATAAAAAGTGGGGAAAACTCTGGTAAAGCGTGACATCAGCATCTCACGTCACTCCTGTGACAGATTCCTTCCCTATATTAGCTGTCCTTCTTGGTGGTTTGAAATTATATCGTGTTTAGATTGAAGGTAGCTGCGAGTAAAGAGTTCATTGAATAGAGGTTTCTAATAAATACTCCTACCTGGAAGCATGTAGGGATATCGATAGATGTTCCGATAAGTATTAAGATGACAGCAATAGTAGTTGAAAGAGCAGCACCAATAGACACCTGCCTATATGAGAAAGTATATCGGAAGTAAAAGTAATTGTAATACTTGTAAATGGTACCAGAAATGCATTGGGCTGCGAAGCATCATGAAGGGCCACAAGAATATAGCGACAGCAAAAAGACTGATACAAAAATGGATGGGATATCCGAAGAGGTGTAGGAGATCGGCAATGTTGCGGGCTGCCAAAAGTGAGAAAACTGAGGCACCGCCAAACAGGGTGATTTGAATGAGAACGTGAGCGATTCGACTGGAAAATGAACGTTTTAATTTGACTTCTTCCTTGAAATGACAAATTTGAGTTTTCCGTATTTTGAGGCACAAAAACTCAACCTTGCTCGGCCTCCGATAGACCGATAGGCCATTTCAGCGTAAGGACTCCGACAGGGTTCCAAATACTGTGGCCATCGTTTCTGCATTATTAACCAGTTGTCACCCAACTGCATCGCCGTTCGAGAAGTGACTACGGCAAGAAGACAAAGGAGAATTGGGCCACCGATTAGACCTGGAACAAATAGAAGAACATTTGAAGAGGGTGTTGTACAAACGGTCAGAATCACCCTTATGGGCATGGTTACTTAGGTGAAGTTTCATTGATCTATTGGGGTCCTGGCATGGTTACGCTTGGTAAGGGGCAGCAGCGTTCGGAAGTCCCACCTATGTTATAGGTGAAATTTTGAATGGAAGCTGGGATTTACTACGAACGGTTTTCCCTGGGTCGTTTGATCCAAGAAGGACTGAACCGTACAATTTAATGCCGACAAAGTCGCTCCATTTCAAGGGACGTGTATCTGTCCATATTGGTACAGCAAAAAATGAACAGGTCGTAAGTACAGGCTCCCATGTTCCTTCAGTCCTCGAAATTCAAACTAGTGATTTTAATGAAATTCAGTATATTTCTTTCTTTCACGGTGACGGGTTCGAATCCCGGATCGATATCCGCCTAGGCCACCCAAGCCCTCCATCCCTGCCGGAGCCGGTTAATTGGTGTCAGACTTGTCTGTGAGGATAAAATCACTGATTTTTACACCGGCTGGCCACCGCCATGGTATGGGACTCATACGCATTCATTACGCCACATCGATTCTGAGTTGAAGTCGAAAGCGAGGGCGCATCCATCAGATAGGACTATTTTTTCAAAAAAAAAATCTAGACATCGATTTTTTCATCACCAGGTCTACCTGTGTTTTTGATGGCATTTGGCATAGCCACTAAACCGCTTCCAGCCGTTTCTCCGATGATGAACACAGCCGCCACCAACCATGAAAAGCCTTTTGGCTGTAACGGTGGGCTTCCAACTTGCTGAAATGGATGTTGCTTATCATGGTGCACCAATTTTGCTTGTTTTAGTTACAGCATTGAAGCAACTAAATGAAAAAACGCTTACTTTTGTCATTAAAGTTAATTTTGTTGATGTGAACTCGTCCGTTAAAGGGGACCGTTGAACCTCTCGTGAGTGATTCCGTCTTGGTTCTGCTTCACTTTATTTTACACCTCGTCACACCTACAGCACAAAATTACTGTAACTAAAGCGATAAGCTTTCACAGAATGCCGGAGAGTCTGAAAAAATGTGGGGAAAGGCAGATTAGTGACAACCACTAAAGAAAAGTGATGATAGTAAAGACATAGGGCAAGGGAGGGGGAGGTGGTGGCGACACCGAATTCGGAGAAAAGAGGTACTGATACGTCATAAATGGATGGCAATGATGCAACAATGACCAAAGACGTGTTATTCGGACACACCGCGAGGAAATCGACAGTCTGAGATCGGTCGCAAGACAAAAACTTGAAATTCAAGATAAAGACTGAGATCTCCGCTCACATTGCAGCAATAATTCAAACAGATGGTATGACAGGGGCAGTTGCAAAGTCGTTCGTTTTATAAAATATCGTCGTGTAAGGAAGTTTAGGTTTTTGCTGAACGCCACAACTCTTCAGTTTTTTACAGATTACGGATAGGGACAGTATGTACTTATCTAAAACCCACCCATCAGTATTACGTCAAGAAGTCTTTAAAGATAATCCGAAGGTCAGAGAGTTGATTCATACCTAAAGCCCTTGAAAAACTGACTAATTCCTGATTTCTGAAGAACAATGACGCAGATATGTGTAGCTGGGAGATTCAGGCTCATGGGAGGCAATTCGTTGAACCCACAGAAGGGTAAGGGGGCTCGTAGTAAGCGAATAACATGAGTTGTTTTGTCTTCATTTCAGTGTTATCAGAGGAATGTTACTTGCAATGCTAATATTAGCAGCACTACTAAAAGGGTAAACTTGATAGCAGCATTTTTTCTTACCCAGGTAAGCATACTTCAGAAAAATGCATACATAAGCTTTTTCAATCAAAATTTTCCTCATGAGTCTTTGTGAAAATTCGCTATTTTTCCGACATTCGGGCGCTATGGCCACTATACAATGATGTGGCTTTTAAAGGCACCGTTCACTATAAAAATGGTTATTGAGTTCTTACCTTATTAATACTCAGCGACCCTCATGGGTGGTAGAAGGGACCCTCTCACTCCCCCAATCTCGACGTCCAGGGCATAATGGCAGCCCCGTTGTTGCCGTAGTTCGCGTTCCCGCCCCTCGGTCGATGAGAAGAATATTAGCAGTTCAGCAGAATAATAGCACGGAGAAATCCGATCAGATTGGATTTGGCTGTGTTGTCTGCAATTGCAGATATTGCGTCGCCTTCGTGCACTCGCCCGAACACTCCCTAACCGCCGTTCTTTCAATGTGAAACTCGTCCGACCCCCCTTTCCAGCTCTTTTTTGACCCTTTGTATTTCTTTTTGTTCATCGTTTTTGCGCTTTTTTCGATGTTATCGCTTTATTCTAGAGTAGTTCTATCAATTCCCGTAAAAAGGGTATCCTAAATTTATCGTGAACGGTGCCTTTAATGATATTCATAACCGATTCAAAGGAAAAGAGAATCGGTGGAGAAGTTCACGGAGTCGTAGTATAAAATGTAGAGACAATGACGTCACGAAACGATAAAAGCAGAGAATAAGGCCAAGAAAACGATTGAGTTAAAATTGTTGCATGGAACGTAGAGTCCGAACGAGGGGACGAAATGTGACGTGTGGGCAACCATAAACCGATCCATTGAACCTAATTGATATTCAACGATTCCCCAATGTTCGCATAGCAGAAAACGCATATCAAACGACCATGTCACATGGTCAATCTAACCAAGTAAGAGGATTGCAGTATGACCATTGAACGGTTAATGACCGTTTTATGCGAGCCACTCACTAGCTGGGAGGTGATGGGCAATGATAAATGGTAGCGTTGCCACAAGCATGGCGTCTCCCAGAGGCAGCTAAGCGTCCAGTACCTGGAAACAATACCAGATTCGGCAGAGAGAACAAGATTTCGCAGCTTCCGATATGTTACTTCGAAGACGTGATCCGCATCAGCATTGTCACCACCGTTCTGAATGACTGATGAGAAAAGGAGCATTACTGCTCGGTTATCACTAGCTCTCCCATATATGGCATGAACTCAATTTTCTTCAGCAACGAAAAACCTTTGAATCTCGTAAAAGTTTTTTATCAAAGGCCTAGGAAAATTCCCTGGGTGATTATTCGTTCAAAGTATATATTGCCCTTACGAGGCACCTTCAAGGTAACGCAAGTTCTACTTTACGGATGAACGAGCCGGTTCTGTGTTTACCTAACTCTTGGACACTAATTTTTACATAAATAAGTAACTAAGTATAATAATAACGGAAAACAACTCCAAGTGCTGCGGGCCTAACCATATAGATGATTCTAGATTCAAGATTCGCTAGGTAATCGAGAATTGAGCGACTCAGATCTCTTTGAATTGGATTGTGGGCTGTTCTGAGTGTCATCAAAGCCAGTTCAAGTTCTTTTTAAATTATCGGAATTTTTATAACTGTGCATGATTTCCACTGTATACCCAATCGATAATAGTGCACTGCACCAGCTTCCCTTCCATTGGCTGGCAGTTATGAGACCACATAGCCATCTCAGCGAACACTTTACCCGTACAGTACTTTAATTAGATAAATGACCGCGTGTTTCTTCTCATGATTAACTTCAAGAGCACNACTTAGACGAACCATTTTGTTCCTACTGTCCCTCGGGGCTCTTCAGTAAGTGAGGGACAGTAGGAACCAAGGAGTATGTCAGCAATCAACGTGGTAAATAAATATCTACCACAATAATTAAGAGTAATGGTTGGTCCAAAAGTGATAGGTATGAAGAGTAAGTCTGAAGTCATAATCGTTTCCTGTTGGAGTCACCACCCAAATGCTCTCTGTTGTTATCACAAGCTGTTCTTTTTTTGCTGTGAGTTCACAAAAAGAAAACAGCTTTTGATAACAGTCACAACAGAGAGCAACAGGGTGGTGACTCCAACTAAGACGATTCTGAAGAGGCGTGCATTCGAGTCATTTATTGTTACACAGTTGTTGGTATTTTATAGTGGAGGGAAGACGTCTCAATTTTCAGTGCCTCTGTGGGACTGGGGCACAAATTTGAAGTGGGGTAGATGAGTAGCATCAGCTGGTCCTACTTATCCAATCTACTCGAAACCCGTGCCCCAATGATAGGCGCCCAAGCCGTTTTAATCACCACGAATTTCGCCGCGCGGTTTGTCGCGTCCATCCAGTTCTGACAATGAGTGAAGTGCCCATACCCAGGTAATAGTGACGACCATGGGAATATCTATTTTTGTATAGGCTGCTGCTTGATGAAATTCATTGCTCACGTTTAGAAAGCTTCGGATTGGGCGTGAGCGTATCGGAAAGTCTGGCATACTGATGGGCTCTATGGGCGAAAAACGACTGGTTCTTGCCCCTTTGAGCAAGATCCTACTAGGTAAATACACCAGTATCATGATGTGTCTCAGGTGTGACATTCGATCCTCACTCATTGTTCACACACACGGTTTCTAAGATTCCGCTACTTTAGAAATCGTAGCGAAATGTGATAGTGATGCGAGTCAGTGGCCTGCAAATCTGAGCAAAACATTGCGCATTTTTAAACATAACAAATGTTCAATCGAGGAAACTACCGGCATGTATTAGAGAAAGTAAGACTTTAAGAATAGTGAAAACTACAGAGAATTGTCGTAAGAAAGCTTCTGATAATCCGGTCTAGCGTTTCTTTCAGCACCGATAGTGTTCTTTTAGAACAGTGTCGTTCAATCAACGGAAGTCGCAAGCACAACGGCTTCCGCGTTTACCAAATCGTAAAACCAATTTTTTTTCTTTTACCAATCAAATTCACTTACACATCAACAGATAATGGTCTTACACATTCTCCAGTTTCTCCAGTTTATGTGAATACCAATTTGATCAACATTAGCACCTTTCAGAGTAAAGCGTTGAGCGTTGAGCGCGCGCTTCGTTGATAACCTCTGTCGTTGATCGATAACGCACGGGTTGGCGTTGAATTACTGAGCCATTGGCCCTTTTCGCACAATCATCAGCTTTCATAAAGGATGATCACGCACCCTACCACGTGAATCCAGTCATGAAGAGGATTTTGGGGGACAAACTTTAATGTTGTGTTTTGGTCTCCGGCCTCGAGACCAGCGAGATTCATCTCCGGATCCGATTTCCTCAGTTTTTACTAAGCTGCTCCTATCAAAACTTATAAGTTGTCTGCTGAAAACTTGCCTGCATCTAAAAATACCTGGACACCAGTATAAGTGAACCGGATGAACCCTTTTCTCATTGCTCAGAGGAACGGTCCTGGGACATGAAGAAGTGTCTGAGTTGCTCAATATTCAATCATATACCACAAGCGAACACGAGAAATATCATGCTAAAGCTTGCTCCACTCTCTGACCCCGCAGATAAGGGTATTCATTGCAATATAAAACGTGAAATGGTATCGAAAAGGAAGAAAATAACATTATGGACACACCCAGAACTTTCAAGTGTGCCATGTCGCGGACAACTTGCACAGAGGTGTGCCTAGGTGGCCAGGAACGAGAACAGACTGGAATGTTAGTGTATCACCTGGTTAGTCTTAACAGATACACACTGTGGCAACTAAAATTAAACAGACCAACGTCTTCTATGAACAGAGCTGATAAGAAACTGTACGGTGAGAATGTAGTTAGAGAAAAGCTTTCGATTCCTTGCCCTTACTTGTGTTCTCTTTTTGAGATGGTATCCTACTGACCAACTTATCTTGCGCTCCAACTTTTCGCGTAGAGTTAGTATTCAGTTAACATCTTTACTATTCATGGGCTTAGGCTAAAAACTCCATCCCTCGACTCGTTGACAAGCACCACTACAGGCTCCCAAAGCCATCTCCCTAGCTCCCACAGAGTGCTGGAGACGCAGTGCGCAGAGGAGTGGCCACCCTCCCTACCTATCACCCTTGAAGCTTCTCCTAACGTTTATATCAAAGAATTCCAGTGCGGTTACGCACTAAAGTCTACTAATGGCAAGCAAATGATTAGTGACTTCTTTTGATCAACACATCAAAAAACAACATCAAACACTAGTTGATAAGAAGTCGTTTCCTATAAGCTGACTGATCTAACCGTACGTAAAGGTCTGACGTTGTGTACATAAGACTGTTTATCAGATTCAGTATGAGGTATTTGAAGCATGCTATTGAGAAAATGTATTCAAGTAAGTATTAAAAAGAGTAAGCGAATATTGAGTGGAAAGAAAGACATCCATAGATTTCGGGGAGACTAAGAAATCTATGCATGAGTAGAAAAAAGGGTCCGAATTAGCTCGTGGTCTTCTGCCTTACATCCCGCTAAGCGAGCTTTTATAGTGAAAATTCAACCCATGTGACTTATCACTCATTATTAGTACACGTGCAACCAGACAGCACCACTCCTCAGTGAGCCTCTCAACTGATTGGTTTTTATGTGAAATAATACGCATTCCACGAGCACTTCCTTTCCTACTATTTACACGTCTGTATGGATCATCGAGCATGACGTTAAATGAACTAGCCTGTGTTTCGACGATATTAAATTCTGTGTATTTGCATATCTATCTGGATCTTTTACGTTTTTCAAAAGTCATGAACATACGGAACTGTTGCCGTTGTTCGTTTTGCTTCGTAATTTTATCAACCTTTGGTTCCGTCCGGGGCACATGCGAAACAGAAGCCGAACTACATCTCTGATTTATCCCCCCCTCCCCCCCTAGTATATTATTTTCAAAAGTTGGTGATTATAATATTTTGTTTGTTTGCTCAATGCCCACGTGACATTTCACACTCTTCGTCGTGCCTACGTGGCATTTTGCGGACGGACGCACAAACCGACATAGGCTGCTTTCAGACTTCCACGTCCGTCCGTCCGTCCTTCCGTCGGCGGTCGCGTGCGAGCCGCGACCGCGGTTTTAGAAAGGTGTAAATAGCGCTGGCACGTGACCTAGTGTTGCGAACACCTTTCTAGAACCGCCGTCGCAGCACGCGTTGAACGGACAGACGGACGGACGGACGGACGTCGAAGTCTGAAGGCAGCCGTACAAATAGACACACAAAGTTAGTGCTTCGTTGTAGAGATACTAGCACCGTATAGTAGCTCGACGGAAGCGCCACAGAATGTTAGTACCTATTATAGATCTAATGATAAATTCCCTCGTATGATACGAATTACTTTATCGATTCTTTTTGCCGCGTATATCGGACCCTAAGGGGTGGATTATATGACAGCCCCGGTCCTCTGTCGTTGATGGACGTTCTTACAGCTATTTCTATATTTCACCTTATGGTTAGAATAAAAAAAATCATGGTCAAACTCTTTTATATAACTTTGGTTGCTTCTTCATAGGAATTTCAGCGGCACTTTCACTATGATACCTTTTACCAAATAGCAGCGAGATTTCTCTCGTACCTTGGAGGGAAATAGCCCAGTCTTATGCAATTCTCCCTTGTAAAACTGATTATAAGTAAGCACTCACCATAACAGCTTGTTAACCCATATGATCGTCAATGGGTTTTTT